TATAATCTATCTAATCTTATCTATATATTTCGCCTGATTCTCCATGCTTTTCTCTTCTTCCTGATACTGGATAGATCCCCTTGTTACATTTACTTTTTTCGCTTTCCTCTTTATTTATTTTCCTCTTCTTTCTCGTTTTTCCTTTTTCGCTCTTGCTTCTCTGTCATTATTCCACTTTTTTCCCATCACTCTTCTGGGAACAAGAGAAAAAAAAGGATAGATGAGAGAGAAGAAGAGAGATGAGAGAGACTGAGAGATCGATGAGAGAGAGATATGGATGTAGCCTGGAGCGGAGAGAGATAACATAGAAAGAGAGAGAAAGAGAGGAGAGAGACTGAAGAGATGAGAGAGAGATAGAGAATAGATATAGATAGATAGATAGATAGATAGATAGAGAGAGAGAGAGAGTGAAGTGAAAGAGAGAAGAGAGAGAGAGAGAGAGAGAGAGGGAGAGAGACGAGAGAATACTGAGAGAGACGAAGATACATAGAGAGACGAGAGAGAGAGAGAGAGAAAGAAAGAGAAAGAAAGGAGAGAACCTAGAGAGAGAGAAGGAAAAAAACGTAATTTAATCCATCAATGACCATGAGCAACCCTCACCTCTGATATTCACCACAAAAAGGGGCGTGTCTTCCCCTATATTGACGGGGCTCTAATCCCCACACGAATGGGACGTCGAAGCGGCCATTATTACAGGCGAGTCATATCGTCTATTAGACACGTGAAAAATGTATAGGGAGAGGGGAGACACACAGAAAGGTAGGGCGAGAGAGAGAGGGGGGGAGGGAGGGAGGGAGGGAGGCGAGGAGGAGAGAGGAGGAAGAGAGAGAGAGGGGGGGAGTGAGTGAGTGAGAGAGAGAGACAGACAGACAGAGAGAGAGAGAGAGAGAGTGAGAGAATAAGGAGAAAACAATAAAAAAGAGAGAACGAGGGAAGGAAAAAGTAACACAGAGAGAGGACAAAGTAAAAAAAAAAAAACAGAGAGAGAGAGAGAGAGAGAGAGAGAGACAGACAGACAGACAGACAGAGAGAAAGAGAGAGAGAGAGAGAGAGACAGACAGACAGACAGACAGAGAGGCACAATTCTTAATAGTTTACTTAGTGGGAACAGTGTCTATATTGGGAAGTACCGCAGTATTATATAACAGAAAGCGCTTGGCTCGCGAGAACTGTGAGCTCCCTGTACTTAGCAAGGACGATGAACAGACCAAAGTTTCAAGCTTGTTTTATCACTTATTGGAGGACTATATTACAATGTATATATATATATATATATATATATATATATATATATATGTATGTATGTATTATATATGTATATAGATGCATATGTTATGTGTGTGTGTGTGTGTGTGTGTGTGTGTGTGTGTGTGTGTGTGTGTGTGTGGTGTGTGTGTGTGTGTGTTGTGTTGTGTGTGTGTGTGTGTGTGTGTGTACGTGTGTCTGTATATCAGTGGTTGCCAACCCGTGGTTTATTGAAATTCAGTGTGTTGACAATATAAACCTAATATACGTCTGCAAGTATAACTAAATAATATTTAAAAATTCTAAACAATATTTCAAAAAAGATATAGATCATAATCCGTTACTGATTTCTAACGCAAGGGTTCAATATACTCATGGGCTATAAGTCTTAATAAATACTATTTGAATTTTGAGGATATACATACTGTACGTGAGTGATAGGGCTAGTTACACACACAAGCACGCAAGCACACACAAACACACCTGGGTCATTGATAATGATGATGATGAAATGTTGGAATTATAGAAATAAAAACAAAGTAACGGCAGTAATAATTGTAATAAAGGTAAAGATATTTATAGTAATAATAATGATGAAAATAATAATGACAATAATAATGATAATAGTAAACGTAAGACTAATGATGAAAATAGTAATAATAACAATAATAGTAAAAAAGTATAAGACAATAATAATGATTATAATGATAATAAGAATGATACCAATATGAATGTTGATAATGATAATATGATGTAATAATAATGATACTGAAAATTATAATAACAATAAAAACATTGATAACATTGATGATAAAAATAATAACAAAAATAATGAAATTATAAAAGTAATAATAACAATAATAATGATTTTTTAAATAATAATAATAACGCTCAGAATCATATCAGTAGATACAAAAATTATTTCGATATATCAATGTAAAAAAGAAAAAAAAATCTCACCCAAAAATACACCCATTGCATAGCTGCCCGTTGTAATTAGCAAAATGAATACAATTTAGCGAAAAAAATATATGAATAACCACACGTATCCGAGCAAGACAGCTAAGTGTTGGTGAGCGACGCTAATGGCTAAACTAGCGAGCTTACAGTCATATGAAATAGAACAAGGCAATAGAGGAAATTGCCGTTATGATGAAAATAGGTTTGGTCTTTCGTGTCCAGTGGCAGTTTGGGCCGTTGCTGGATATCTTCTTTCTTTCTTTTTTTTCTCTTTTCTTTTTCTTCTTCTTCTTCTTCTTCTTCTTCTTCTTCTTCTTCTTCTTCTTCTTCTTCTTCTCTTCTTCTTCTTCTTCTTCTTCTTCTTCTTTCTTTCTTTCTTTTTCTTTTTCTTTTTCTTCTTCTTTTCTTCTTTTCTTCTTCTTCTTCTTTCTTCTTCTTCTTCTTCTTCTTCTTCTTCTTCTTCTCTTCTTCTTCTTCTTCTTTCTTCTCTTCTTTGTGTGTGTGTGTGTGTGTTTGTGTGTGGCTTCGGTCACTGACATCACAGTAAGGACACGTATTATGACCCCAGACGACCGTGTGACCTCTTCGCCCATTCGCCTGACCTCCCGAACAACGACGGTGGCAGTTACCTCGAGCGGGCATTGGGTAATTTACAATCTTACGTCACCGAATCGGACATCGACGATTTTGGTATCGTTGGGATTCCGAGTATTATATATAGTGTACTGTACATACATATTCCACTCCATCATCCGAGGCTATCGGGCCACCGCCGCTCTTCTGGTCATGGTATACCCTGTTCATCCTGACTATACTACAATCGTCTCAGTATACAATGCTGACTATGTCAAGGTTAGTATGTTGCTCCAGTGGGAAAGTTACAATACCTTTATAATTGTGTAACGCTCTATCCTGCCGTGAATACGTGGTGGATTCTTTGTTTCCTCGGTGGGGGTTGGGGAGCGGCAGCCCCCCCCACCCATTCACAGGGGGGGGGAGGGGCTGTGAATTATCATCGTTATTTTCATTGTGGGTTATATTATTAGTGTTATTTAACCCCGCATTTTCCCTGGAACCTTCTATGCCCTCCCCTGCTATCGGAGCCAAGTTTGTCGCTATAGGGGGGTTTCCGCGCAATAAAACCTACTTATTTGCATTGTATAGAGAGCTAGGAATCCAACGATACCAAAGTCGTCGATATCGCATCGGCGGACGTAAGAGGAAAAATTACCCGAAAAGGGAGACGCCGCCTTGCCGCTGCCGGCGCCCGGACCGACGGAGACAGCTCGACCGCAGATTAATCGGGTCACGTGTCCCAGTGCTTGCCAAAGAACCCCATTCCGTGTGCCTTGACAGAAGCGAGCGCCAGTCCGCGACGGTGATTTAGTGAAGTGAGAACAATTACCTTTAAATGACAGACCGATCGCGAGTTGAGTGTTGTGCGCTATGTTATAAATTGTGATAATAATACACGTTCGTGTTAATCTTATAGTGTACGTATTTGTTAAGTTTAAGAGTCGTTTGTGAATGTATTCGGTTTTTTGTTTTCTATGTATGTATTTCGTGCGTGTGTATCGTTTTATTTGTCTTTGTATTCGTCAAGTTGCAGATGTATTCCTTATGTATTTGTCGTGAATATATGATAAATATGCATACATAATTATTAATAAATCTGACATTTTATTTTTCTTTCTTTCAAACCGAACAGACGCTAAAAGATTTCTGACAGATATTACGACTAAAATCAAAATTACAATTAACATGAACATAATAAGTTATAAAAGAGAAGCTAAAAATAACTGAAGAAGTTGACTGATAAAGTAAATGACCAAGGACCAAGTAACAGTATAAACAAAACATTATAATCAATAACATTGAACAAAGCCTCCGAACAACTATTTCGGTCAAATCACCATAACAATAACATGTTAAAATTATTATATATTATATATATAAAATTATAAAATTATTATATGTTAAATTAACATATAAGATTATTATATGTTAAAATTAAAATTAAAATTTCTAAGTGTCGGGATTCCTATTCACGTGGTGGCGGCTACCTCCGTTTGTGTTTGTTTGTGCGTTCGTCAACACAGAATCGCTACATGTGTGTGGTGATGGTGGTGGTGAAGGGGGGGGGGGGGAGGGTAATATATATAGTGGAGTCGCATACCGTACGCGGGAAATAACTCTGGTTTTCTCGGATTACTGTATTGATTTATAAATGGATCTGGTTGGAAGAAAATGAGTGATAAACCCTCTGTGTGTATGTGTGTGTGTGTGGTGTGTGTTTGTGCCCAGTTGTTCGTTATCTAATATGCTTGGTTACTCTCTCTCTCTCTCTCTCTTTCATCAATCTATCTATCTATCTATCTATCTATCTATCTATCTATCATCTATCTCTCTCTCTCTCTCTCTCTCTCCTCTCTCTCTCTCTCTCTCTCTCTCTCTCTCTTCTCTCTCTTCTCTCTCTCTCCTCTCATCTCTCTCCTCTCTCTCCTCTCTCTCTCTTTCTCTCTCTCTCTCTCCCTTCTCTTTCCCTCTTTCCCTCTTTCCCTCTTTCCCTCTTTCCTCTTCCGTTTTCCTTCTTCCTCTTCTCTTCTCCTCTTTCTCTCTCTCTCTCTCTCTCTNCTTCAAGTTTGCCCTTGAGAGTGGAGGACCTGCTCAGAACGGGAGACTTCACCAAATCGGGCTATTTAGCCGACAAATCTCGAGGAGAGAGCCTTGCTGAAACCAAACCAAGTTTTGCAACACAGGTATATCTACCTTTGGTACTGTACAATATTAGAGGATGAGTCATATGCTAAAATAGATGACAAGAACACATCTGTCAAGGTTTCAGATTGTCTTGTGGAAAGTGTATCATGCTCTATTTCTATTTTTCATTTGGCTGCAGTTTCGAGCAGATGATAAAGATGATTTTGACCCACGCCAAGCAGCCGTCATGCTAATGAACATGGATGAAATGCCACAATCACTGGCCGAGTCCACCAGGATTGATGCAAGAGAATTTAAACATGTTCCAGCTTGTAAGGTGAGTTTTTTCTGAATTTGTTGAATGTACATTTTTCTCAATTTGAATGATGATGATGAGCAACCACCCTCAATTATTGGCTCAGAGATGTTAATTCTATTTACTGTGTGGAACGAATATCTTCACAATACAAGAGATGTATTTAACCGGTTTCGATTATATCATGTATTTCTGACGAAGATATAATCGCAACCGGTTAAATACATCTCTTGTATTGTGAAGATATTCGTTCTCATTCATACTTTTCCATATTTGTCAACATGAATACGGTTCATCTATTTACTGTGTTTTACTGTTCCCTGAATATGCACTTTAAAATGCTTTCAGACACAGAAGCTAAAGCTACCCGACGTGATCAATCCCTTTGCCGACGATCTCCTGCAAACTCTCCTGCTAAACATGGAACATCCTGTTGAGGAGCGAGGAGGCTTTGTGCTGCAACAGGGAAAGCTACCTCAAGTGAAGCCAAATAGCCAGGTAAATAGGGAGTAGCATAGCTACATAAAATTGCTATAGTTTCCCACTTTTTTTTTACTTATCATTCTTTTTTTCCTCTATCCTTCCCCGCTCTTCTCTCTCTCTCTCTCTCTCTCTCTCTCTCTCTCTCTCTCTCTCTCTCTCTCTCTCTCTCTCTCTCTCTCTCTCTCTCTCTCTCTCTCTCTCTCTCTCTCGCTCTCTCTCTCTCTCTCTCTCTTTTTTTTCATTCCTTTTTCCATTTTCTCACTCCTTTCCTCCATTTCTTTTCTTCTTGTAAGAATTCTTACAACCATGATCACACACAAAATAACACTACCTATGAGCCTCATTCAATCTTTTGCTGGCTTCTCAAAGATCACCCTTGGAGGCGAGATGTTCCATGTGCGGCGCTTACGAGGGGAGGGAGCCTATGCCAAGGTGTTCCAGGCCTCGACACTCGACCCCATGAATGTCACCATTATGCCCTCTTTTGATGACAGTGATGAAGATGATGAGGATGAGGATGACGAGAAGCAGGTGAGTGGAGTTGGATGGAGAGAGAGACAGGCCAGTATTGCAGTCTGTGTGAATGTTAATAGAGTGCAAAATAAACTGGAGAAGATTATTAATAGGCTGGCATCCTGGTATATGTATGAACAGTTTCTTTTTCTTCCTTTTTTTATGTGAAAGTTTAGTTCAATATACAAATGGTTATCAAAATATGTATACACATTTGATATTAATGTTGATCCCCCCCCCCACACACACACACACAATGGTTATTTTTATTGGTATCTCAAAGAGCACTTATACTATTTCAGATGATTCTGAAAATTCAAAAGCCCTCATGCCCATGGGAGTTCTACATTTGCCATGAACTCCGTGAACGGCTGAAGGCTGAGAATGCATCCATCAACATGCTGGATTCAGTCATGAGAATAAACAGGGGATACTTCTATAATAATGGGTCAATCCTGGTGAACCAGTACCACAAGTATGGCACAATACTGGACATAGTGAACAGGTATGGGTATTGAGATTAATTTATGTATGGCACAATACTGGACATAGTGAAGAGGTATGGGTATTGAGATTAATTAATGTACCCAGTAACTTAAATATTTTTTATTTGTTTATTTATTCTTTAACATTCCTCATGAAAGCTGTGAATAAACAACTGTTGTTTTGGGGCTCAACTATTACAGTTCCATTACTTCTCATATATGTAACAATTAACTCGACCCACCTGCAGATACAAGGTTGCTGGCAAGACTGTCCCAGAAGAACTAGCCCTGTATTTCATGGTGGAGGTCCTGTCTATCCTTGAGGCGCTGCACAGTTGCAACATAATTCATGCTGACATAAAGCCTGACAATTTCCTGATCCGCAACACCCCAGTCATAGATGCAACAGCAAGATCCCCAGCCGAGATGTTTGCAAGCTGTCCAACCTCAGTCAAACTGATTGATTTTGGTCGAAGCATTGACATGCAGTTGCTGCCTGAGGGAACTACCTTTGTGGAAAAGGTATGTAAAGGAGATGTTTTTTCAAAGTATTGAGTAATCATAAATTTGTAGACTTAGCATTATCTGGTTATATTCAATTTTATATCATTATTAGCAGTTTATTTAATTAGTAAAACAAGCAAAATAGATATGAAGACATTCACTATTCAGAGATAATAACAATGTTTGCATTTGCATAACTATAGCAAATGACTAGTAAAATGTAAATGTCAGTCTGAATGTTTATTAGCATTTGCACAGATGTCTAACCAAATTTTGGAAAAAGAAAAATCTCTTGGTTTTAAAGCCCTCTCCCTCTCCTATAACTGCAGGTAACAACAGAAGGGTTTACTTGTTGTGAAATGAGAGAAGGCAAGCCTTGGACCTACCAGCCTGACCTCTATGGAGCTGCAGCAGTTGCTTTCTGCCTTCTCTTTGGTTCCTATATGGATGTCAAGAAGAGTATGAGTGGCCAGTGGGAACTGAAGGGTGTCACTCTTAAAAGGTAATAACATACTGTTGCATTTTCATAGAGTATTGTGATATATCTAGTTAAATTAACCTGTTGTTTTTAATAAATTATAAGATTTTGAAGGTACTTTCAATATTCTCATTATGAAAATCCTGTAGCATCACAGTGTAGATATAACATTGGTTCATTTTCAAATGCCAAACACAGGTACTGGAAGAAGGAGCTGTGGCAGTCGGTCTTCTCCACTCTGTTGAATGTACCCTCCTGCGCTGCCATCCCTAGTCTGTCCAAGCTCAAGCAAATTATGACTACCTTCTTTGAGAACGGCATGCAAAACGAGTTCAATGTGAAGGTTCAGCAACTGTTCACCATGATGATTCAGAAGACCTGAGGACAAGTCACAGGCTGTTAAGTGATTTAAGCCTGCACCCATGACGATTTTGTATGAATGTTTTTTAAAGGATAACTTTCAGGTGAAGCAAAGTGATATGAGATACCAGTTAGATATTGTTATAAGTGTGAATTATTTTTTAGTGATACTATGCAAATTGTCATAGGAAATGGTACATATAATGCATAATGCATACATGTTTCTTACTCGAAGTTCAAAGGTAATGTGCCTTCACCGCAGCTGAAAAGTTTACTTTTTTAAGGAAATACTTCTACAGTGTTTTGACAAAGATGTTACAGTCTTGACTAAACTCTTTTCATTTCTTTTGTCTTATAGTTACCAAAGTATGAATTAAGCCTTCATCTTTTCTGTCTTTTATTTTTTCTTTTAATTCCTAATGATGATTGTGTTTTTTTTACGGTTTACAAGCACAAAACTTTGTAATTTTTTGTATAATACACTGTGCAGTGAGGATTTAACTTGTAATACAAACTGTGTCAAAGACTGAAGCCTTGCATAAATTGAATTTCTTAAGGCCAAGATGTATCTGTATTTTTTATGCAACAAATAAAGAACAAACACTAATATGAATTTTTATTAAAACTAATTATTCTGCTTCTTAGGGTTGAAAAACATTTTTAAGTACACTTTATATAGATCGTTAACTTTATCCTTTCACCACAATACTTTACTATAGTGCTGTATTACCTTAGATGTCTAGCACATTTATTCGTTTCAACCATTAACCATTTTTTATTCTCCCCAGATATCTTGGAAGTTCTTAGAAAGGGAAAATAAATTTTTGTGCTATAACATGATAAAGTTGAACATGCAAGGTTTGTAGGTGGAAATGACATCCACACACTATCCTGGATATAATTTTTGATAAGTAAATGAAGACATGACGATGATCATCAAATCAAGCATCATTTCTAATGATTCGCAAACTCAAAAATACATAAAGAATTATCAGTAATGACTTTATGATCTCAGTGCATAAACTCGGTTAACAAAACTTACATTTAATGCAGCATGATAAGCAATAGCCATAGGGATTCCCAATTTCCTCATTTTAGGTGGACGCATTAAGAGGGGTCGGGTTCTACTCGACCTGATATTTATAATGGTCAATCAATTTTTTGTATCAATTTTTTTGACAAATAGGACCAGGACATGTCATTAAAGCAAATGTGAATTGAAAGACATGAAACATAGATGATACATGTACTCTAAAGGATACCAGCAAATTACATAGAAATACAAATGCAGAAGAATTTTTGCAGGATATGAAATGAAAGGAACAAAAAAAAAAATCAAGTACACCTATAATAGATTTTTAAAAACAAAAACATATTGCTATTATCCAGAACTAGGAAATACCAGGTTTAAAACTGTCCGGCAATTATGCATCAACATCCAGAAAATCACAAGGAAAACCTCTCAAAAACTATTTTTATTTAGTAAAAGAATCCAGATCAAACTTTCAGGCAGTACTTACACACTTCATGTTTTTTTTATGGAGACCAGTACACTTACACACTTCAGATAACTTTGGAGCCTTTTTTCATACTAATCAAGACCTTTCAGTTAATAAATCTATAACTGTAGGACAATTTTAAAATGTAAAAGAGCCTGCAGTACCCCCTACCAGATCTGCTAATACTCACTGCTGCTAATTGAAAGACTACAAATAAATCAAATCTGATGCATGTATAAATAACGAGGGGTAAGACTAAATACAGCCTTATGCTGGTAAATATTTAATACAAATACATCAATGTCATATCATCAGAAAATATATGATTATATGAACTGAAAACATTACATTATTACCTTGTATAATTACATAAATACACATCTTATACCTCTGTACACGTAATTACATAAATACTGCATAAATATAAATTCTAATATGCACTAGTAAAAACATGTTGAAAGTGGCTAGATAATTAGTAGGTTCAGTGCAGAACTCACTATGTTTGCATCAATATCAATCAAACTATAATAAATTAATATAATATTCTACTAGTCTAGTACAACTGAAAAATGGAATTGCAATAATTTGTCTTTTATACTGGTGACTGCTTATTTGCTGGACAAAGATCAAATGTGATTATCTTAAAAAAAAAGCTACTTTGGTGTCAGTTGATCGTTGTTTGTATAAAAAAAAATCCATTAGGACTGCTTAACATTTTTTTCTCCATCATATAACTTTCATACATGTAACCCCCTCCACCCCATCCCTTGCTCAGTGTTGTCGTGGGAAGGTTTTAGGAGATAGAGACTGAATGTCGGGGATCACGCCTACCTTGGGACTCAGTACCTCACCTTGGGACTTAGCACTTTGCCTGAACTAAATTTGGCATAGTCCTTTCTTCTCCCCCTTTTCTTTTTTTTTCTTCTTTATCCCCTTCTGTCCACTTTCTAATAGGAGCCGTGCTGAAAGGATGAAAGGTTGGCTTGTGGAGTCATGAACGGCCTCAGCCATGGGCACTTTATTCCCTTAGTTAATCGCTTAGCTCTTACTCCTTATGGGCACCCTGAGTAGTTGACTTTCTTTTCCCCACTTATTTGAGGCTCACCATGCCTAACAATGGAGATTTTTTTTACCCTCATTTACGCCACTAAAGCTTGCTCTTTCACCAACTAGCCTATCCAAATTTTCGGACTCCTGCCTCTCCTACCGTCATGGCTCCAATTACTAATATTAATAACCCCTCCTCCTCCTCTTCATCCTTATTGTACTTAATTATTCCCTTAAGTGGGAACAACTCTATTTGCTTCAATACATGAGAAGCTGCAAAAAAGCACATTCATTTGAAAAACTTGAACCAAGAAAAAGTTAAATTCTCTTTCCCACCAGAGGCGAGCTTCCATGGTGGCATGGGAGGCACCTGCCCCCCCCCTGCCATCTGATGGTCATTGACCCTTTATATATTAATATATAATATATATAAATACATAATATCAAAATATAATAATATATAATACACACACAGCAATATGAAAACATAAACAATGTGTAGCTGTATATAAAAATGTATGTATGGATGATGATAATAATCAAAGTATCAATAACATCAATAATGATATATATCATATATATATATATACATATATATATATATATATATATATATATATATATATATATATATGCGTATCCATAGTGTACATCTTAATGATTACAGGATAACAATGAGCTTACTAGTAAATTTTGATGAAGTTTCCTCAAAAAGTGAATAAAAAATAGTAAATGATAAGCATAGACATAATAAATAAAAATATTTTTTTTCATATGGATATTCGCAAAACGTGAGATGATACGTGACGAGTGTGCAAATGTATATATATATATATATATATATATATATATATATATATATATATATATATATATATATATATATATATCAGTGTATCAATGGTTCACAATTTAAAAGATACTTTTAAATGTTTAATTTATGACTTTTTGTTGTAAATAATAGCAATAAGAGTAATATCGACAGTAATGAAGAATGATAAAGCTGCTATTAAAAATAAATAAATAGTGATGAATAATAACAAATACAGTCATTGATAACATGAATGGCATGTAACAGAAACATTTTTTTTTTCAAGTGAATATTCGCAAAAATAACACTGTAATGGTATTGAAAAAAATTCAATTCAGTAGAACTTTAATACCTTTTAAATGGTACAAACATATTTTAAATTAGGCGCATATTACACTGCCAAGCACGGGAAAAAAATCTATTTCTATGCATACATTTTTTTTCTAAATACTTTTCGGGTGTCACCTCCTCTTCCGCCATTTTAATACCCTCCTAAGTTTAATAATTTCGCAGAAGTGTTAAACGTCGACTTATCGACACATTCTGCGAGTGTATAAAGTTTAAAAAGAATAAGGGGTTGAAACACATTGTTCTGAAGATAATGCTTTCGTACTCAACCCTAACACCATTTCCTAACTTTATTCTTACATTTCCAAACACGTTTTTTTGTTCCCGTATTGTGTAGGCCTATTCATATCAAGGCAAATTAAATAAATAGAAATAAATAAAAAATATGTCATGTTTCGCTCGCGTTACGTCTTCAATTGCACTGAAGACAACCCGACTACAATTCCAAATATAAACTATATCCTCTGTGTACATGCATTAAAATGTTTAATAATAAGTACGGTTTTTGGATCCCTTTCCCTTGGCATTCTCTCATCTCAGGAGGCCAGTTTATAATTGACTAGGACAATAAAATCATAATTTGACTCGTGAAGTCGCAAAATAAAAAGTGAAGGTATACTGTACTTGTTTTTGTGGTTATTTTTTCGAATTCATGTCCACCCTGAATAGACTTAAAATCCGGATAATTAGTTCGAAAGTCAGTTGGTTGAGGAATTTATTTTTCAACAAATATTTGCGTTGGTAATTATATAGTAATGGTTTTCAAAAACAAGTCTGAATTAAATTTTGATGATAAAGGACCATATACTGAACAGTTCGAGAGGTAAAAAAAAGAAAGAAAGAAAGATTTTTTTTTTAAATCTCACAAATTATGATTCAAATAAACGGAACTCAACACGTTCCCAAAATGCTGGTGATCGATCATAATGAACAACTCCCTCACAGAATCTCATAAAAATCACAACAGAAGCGAACAAGAATCTCATAAAAAAAAATCACAGCAACTACACGGACACGAAAAAAAAAAAAAAAAAAAAATGTCCGTTGTCCTCCTTCCTTCTTCGCCATTCAAACCGCTCCCTTCCCGACCTTCGGCGCCATTTTCCTTTCCTCAACCTCCACCACGTTTTTCTCCTGATTTCCCGAGAGACTTCGACGCCTCTTCTTCCTGAACCGATTATGGGGTCGAACTCGCGCCCAAAACTTGTGAGGAATATGTCTCTTGTGGATCTTATGGGAGTCGTTAATGTGGATCACGTCGACGGGAATGGCGGTTGAGAGGCTGGTGTTCAGGTCATGGTAGTAGTTCTCCAAGGTGATTTCGGGAGACCGGATGCCCAGGATTCTGAAAAGAGGGAAGGAGGAGAGAGAGATGAGAATTGTGAGGGTGAGTGAAGAGCCAAAAAAAAAGGGAAGGAGAGAAAGATGAGAATTGTGAGGGTGAGTGAAGAGCCAAAAAAAAAAGGGAAGGAGAGAAAGATGAGAATTGTGAGGGTGAGTGAAGAGAAAAAAAAAGGGAAGGAGAGAAAGGTGAGAATTGTGAGGGTGAGTGAAGAGCCAAAAAAAAAGGGAAGGAGAGAAAGGTGAGAATTGTGAGGGTGAGTGAAGAGCCAAAAAAAAAAAAAAAGAAAAAGGGAAGGAGAGAAGGATAAGATTTGTGATAATGAGTGAAAAGGCGGTTAACGTCGGTTATGCTGTGATGACGATTGTGATAGTGACAATTGGCGGCAATGACTCTGACGGCGACGATAGTAATGCCTGATGATGCTATTTAAAATGCTGATGGAGGGGAAAGAAACAATGGTCATATTCGCAAACTTTGGGAATCGAACTGTGGATGGATTGGGTAAATTCATAATCACAAGCACAAATACACATAAACACATTCACTCTCTTTCTCTCTCTTCTTCTCTCTCCCTCTTCATCTTTCTCACTCCCACTCCTTCCCCTCGCTATCTCTCCCTCCCATCTCTTTCTCTCTCTCTCTTCCGTCTCCCTCTCTATTTCTCCCACTCTCCTCCTCCTCCTCCTCCTTCCTCTCTCTCTCTCTCTCTCTCTCTTCTCGTTCTCTCTCTCTCTCTCTCTCTCTCTCTCTCTCTCTTCTCTCTCTTTCTCTTTCTCTTTCTCTCTCCTTTCTCTTTTCTCTCTCTCCTCTCTCCTCTCTCTCTCTCTCTCTCTCTCGTCTCTCCTCTCTCTCTCTCTCTGTTCCTCGCCCCCTCTCCCTCTCTATTTTCTCACTCCTCCCTCCCCTCTCCTCTCTCTCCCTCCCTCCCTCCCTCCCTCTCCCCTCTTCATCTTTCTCCCACTCCTTCCCCTCGCTATCTCCCCCCCTCTTCCTCCCTCTCCATCTCTCCCTCTCCCCTCTCCCTCTCTCCCTCCCCCTCCCTCCCTCCCTCTCCCTCTCCCTCCCTCCTCCTCTCCCTCCCTCCTCCTCTCCCTCTCCCTCCCTCCCGCTCCCTCTCCCTCCCTCCCTCCTCTCCTCTCCCTCCCTCTCCCTCTCCCTCTTTCTCCCCTCCCACTCCTTCCCCTCCTCACTATCACACACACACACACAAAGCATCACGATATACACATTTCCAGTCACCATTTTCACCATCAACACTCACCTTTCAGGAACCACCGGGATCGACAGCAACAGGATAGTGAGAAACAGCAGTGATGACAATATCAGGATTTTGTACCTGCAAAAGAAAGAGAGAGAGAGAGAGAGAGATAGAGATTAAAATATGTTAGATATATTATATATTATATTATGTTAGATATATGTTAGAGATATTTAGAGGTTTATGTTGTATTATTGTAGGGTTACAGGAGGGTGAAGTTGTGATGGTTATAATGAGTGAAATACTGGACATCAATGATTATAATGATGTTGATAATTTTGATAATGATAATGGTGATTATTATTATCGTCATGATAACGATGATGATTATGAAAATAGTGAAAATATTGATAGTGAAAATAATGATGATCGTCTGAGTGATCCAAAAAGTTCATTTCGATCGGTCCGAGTGATCCAAAAAGTTCATTTCGATCGGTCCGAGTGGTTCAAAAAGTTCATTCCGATCGGTCCGAGTGGTTCAAAAAGTTCATTTCGCTCCACGTTGCGCTCCTCCGGCCTTCGCGTTCACATCAGACCACTTGTGCGAGGACGAAATGAACGCAGCTGTTTCTCTCTCTCGGGGAAGATGGAGGTGACTAATGAATTCGGTCAAAATAAAGAAAAAGAAGAAAAAGAAAAAGAAAAAGT